GAAAACTAACGAGATCCTCGGGAAAGACGTCCTCCGAGTACTCACAAACCACTCTCGGCAATACAATCTGGGTCTCCTCACGCTCACCACTCGTAAAGCTAGCAAGAAGACCACTAAGCTCACTCTGCCCTCGCGGATCATACACCGGTAGCAACACACTACCAACCCGATCCCACAAGAAATGGAAACACTCCCCACTCAAGGTACATATTGTGACCCTCTGGTGGTAGCAATCAATAACTGCCCGGTATGACGATAGCCAGTCCATACCCAAAATAACATCAAATCCCGACATGGGCATAACTACAAAATGAAACGGAAGCCGGCGATCGACGACTTCTATATCACAACCCCTACAACCTTGTTTCAAAATCAATTCACCCCCAATAGGTGACACTACACAAATAAGAGATGCTAACTGTGCCAACTCTAATCCCAAAATAGATGCAAATGCAGCAGATACAAAAGAATGAGATGCACCCATATCAATCAATACACTAGCAATTGAGTTGCAAAACAAAAAGGTACCTCTTACAACTGATGGAGCAAGTACAAGATCCTGCGCGGTAACAGCATACACGTGCCCAGTAGGCCCCTGATCCACTTGCTCACCCCTCGGAGCATACGACTGTTGCATAGATTGGGATGGCGAAGCTCCCAGATTGGCCCTCAAGGCCTGCACAGACTGAGCTGGCTGAAAACCTTGCGTCTGCCTGGAACCAGACGCGCCCGAAGTGGCACTCAACTGTGGGCAAAACCTCTTCAGGTGCCCAGGCTGACCACACTGATAACAAGACAAGGGCTGGCCCCTGCTCTGACTCTGGCTCTGCGGTCTAGCTGAAGATAAGCAGCTCTCTGACCTCCTCCCCTTTATAGGCAAATTGAAGCCTTGTGGCCTAGCTGACCACACTTGTAATAGTGAAATCTCCTTGATTGCCTCTCCCCGAGCCTGCACTCGGCACTGGAAAGGTTGATCTAGCAATACCCCCCTGAGACTGCTGAGGGTTAGCACCCCTCTGTCTCCTGCCATCACCCTGACCGTCCTGGCTCCTCTTGGAGCCTCTCTATCCCTCTTCCTCCTGCATCATGATCTCCATATGGGCTGCAGTATCAACCAAGCGCCCATAGTCTCGGATCATAGAACCCCCAACTCTCATCTTGAGGCCGCGCATCAACCTCTTCTCAAACTCAACACAGCGGCGTTCCTCGGACGCCACAAGTTTTGGTGTGAACCTGAACAAGCTAGTAAAAGCAGCCTCATACTCGGCCACTGAAGAACTCAACTGCAAAAGCTGGCAGAACTGGTCTCTCAGCTTCTTCCTGACTGCTGGAGATAAGTACTTCTCCAGAAAAGCCTCCACAAAAGCCTCCCACGTGCCAGCAATACGGCCCCTCATGTATTTCCACCACTGACCCGCATCCCCTTTAAGCTGGAAGGATGCCAAGGTCACTTTCAACGCCCCGTCCTTGATGCCAAGCATCTCGAACGTCTTACTCATCTGTTCTAACCACTCGTCAGCCTTAAGTGGCTCCTTTGGATCCCCAATAAACTTGTCCAGGTTAGACCGGAAGAACTCCCTCTTCAAGAAGAAAGGCCCTGCCTCAACAACCTGGGCCTGCACTGGAGCCTGAACTGGATTCTCAGCTCTGAGAATACCCATAGACTCCCTCAAAGCATCGGTTATCCCTCAGGCTAAAGCGCCCATAGCCTCCTGACCTGCTGGCTCTGTCACATTGGCCTGGCCAACCCCCTCCTGCTGTACCGAAATATCATCTGGTAAAGGCATCTCCTGCCTACCACGTCTACCACGTCTACCACCTCTTCCTCGTCCTGACATCCTAATAAAGGTAACGAAGAACATTAGCACATTCATAAGTGTGCCAAAACTAAACACTCGCGTCCTAATACATGGACAACTGTAATTCACTCCATGTAAGCACATAAACACATAAGCACTTACGAATTTCATTTCCGAATAATGATAGTCCCGAGGCGTTACTAGAGTTCCGGTTAGAAACAGCATTGATCAATTGCTTTTCCAACAAGACTTACAGAAACCCAAGGATCCAATCAACATCCTAGAAACTAAATCCCATACCCAAGTAGTCACATAAACATGTTATCAAATAAACACATAATGTCACACATAAGTCTCTAACAAGCGAGACAAACCCATTGTGATACTAATCACTTCCCACATACCCAAAGTTCGAACCTGGTAAGCTCTGATACCAAGTTGTAACGCCCTCAAAATAAACCCATAAATCATCCAACAATAGCATGCTTAGACATAAGGAAATAAAGCATAAATATATTCCATCAGAGTAACCATTACCAAATGTATTACATGTTGACAACAAAAGTAATGGCCTATGGGCTTATAACTTTCCAAGTCAACACTTGGTTACAAAAAAAAAAGAGTACTAACTCTATACAAAGAAAGCCCTTGGCTGAATATTCATGTAATACATCAAAAGAAAACAAAACAACAGAAACAGTCTGTCTGCCTTTAGCCTTCCAAGCTATGTCCTTGGAGGTGGCATGCTACCTGTACCTGAAAATGATGTCCCATAAAGGGTGAGCCACAACCCAGTAGAAATATGCTAAACCAACTATAAACAATGACTAAAATAATAGCATTCAATAGATGGTCCACACTTGTATTCCAACGTATGTCGTATTACAGTTTCACGACAATCATGCCCATGGCACACTTCAGTTTCCATTTCTTATTCAACTTTGAGTTTGAAAACAAGGCTTAGAACCTAGCCAAATAACTTAATGAGATTAAGACTCATCTTTAAAACACTTTTGAAATTCATGATGGATACACATTTTGGTGCTGTATCAATAACACATAAAAACACTTCTATACTTCACAATTAATAACGATATACATTTCAGTGCTATATCAAATCAATTCAAACAGTTCCATAACCCACAATTGATACACATTGTAGTGTTGTATCAATGTCACACAAAATCCGGCTTAGAGGTCCATCCCCTATCTTCCCCTAAACCGTGGAGTACATCCCCTATCTCCTCCCACACACAATGTATATAAACATAGATCATATACATAATCAATCAATACATAAAGTTAATGTATTATTTCAACCACTATACTCGATAGCATATTCAATCGATTAGTTTTAGTTTGCCTAATCATTATACATTGTCTACAACAATCACGACTATCCTTCAACGATAGCACAAAGCAGTTATTTCTAAACAGAAAATAAAGGCACCAAATGGATAAAATATCAACATTTCAACTAGGTGAGTGATAAATGATCCAACTACACCCTTTAATCCCATACGTTCCCAATTTTAACTTCTCATTTCTCAAAATTAATTTCACAAATTAATTCATCAATGTAATTAGGGCATTTCCCATAATTAACAAAACAACCCTAAGGTTCCATTTCTATCAATGACCCAACATTTATCTCATTTCTCCATGCTAAACATGCATATAGGCTTATATAAATAAAACCTCATCTTTTGTAAAGTTACACAAAGACCCAAACTTTCTCAAAATTACCCAACAATCCCCAACATATCAAAATGCTAAAATTTAAAGACAAAGCTCATAAGGAGGAGTAGGATATTCCTACCTCGAAGTTAGAGCTCAAATGGAGAAGAAGACCAAAACCAAAGTGCTCCAAACTCCAAACTTTTCGGATCAAAACGAAGCCCTCAACGATCAACACGCTTTTTACAAAGACCGAAGGATAGGAGAACACTCTAACTAGATCAAACCCTAGAGAGAAGGGAAATCCTAGAGAGAGAGGCTCTAAAAAGAGTTTTTAGAAAGTAAGAGAGAGAGAGTGAATGTAAAAAGTGATTCAAAAATGCCCAGCTGCCCACTGATATACGACACTCCCGCTCGAGCGGAGAATAGAACGTTCGAGCGTCAAGCACAAAAATCTAGACACGCTCGGGCGCAATAAGGCCTGCTCGAGCTCCAAGACACAAGAATAAAATACATTCGCTCGAGCACGAAAACCAGTCCGCTCAAGCGTAGATTTTCCCCTCCCAGAACTTTCACAGACAAAGCACTACCCGCTCGAGCGCCACCATACCCGCTCGAGCGTGACCCGCTCGAGTGTAGAAAACCCGCTTGAGCGTGAAAAATACACCTGCAGAAGTTTTGTAGGGACACGAAATACTGGGAGTGTGTAAATCCCGCTCGAGCACAAGAAGGCCCGCTCGAGCGGAAAACCGAAAACCAAAACTCCGCTCGAGCGCAGAAAGACCCGCTCGAGCGTAACACCAAAAACCTGGGCAACTACACTTGAGACCAAGCCTCAACTTACCTATTTGAAACACGCCCAACACATCCCAAAACTTGAACATACGGAATGAAAGGATGACAACATGGTATACAACCACCAACTCCACGGAACCCAGGTCCGGAATACAACAGATACAGAAAGGAAAAATAGGAATCGCTATAGTTGTTCTTTTGGTGAAGGTTATATGATTTGTGATGGTGAAGCTTGTAGTAGTAGTAGTAGTGTTGTTTGTGAAACTGATTTTTTGCCTTTATTTTTTTTGAAATCAACAGAAACCTTTACTCTCCGATGGGTGGGTTAATTGTATAAAAGAAGTGGGACAAAGGTTTGCTCAAGGAGTTGTTGAATTTTGAGATGCATTGTCAAAGTACTCTACTCATTCCGGTTTTAATTTTGATTTTGTTAAGAATGATAAGGATCGTGTCACTGTTCATTGTAAGAGAAGGGCTGATTTGGGATGTTTATGGAGCATGCATGCTAGAGTGGAAAATTATAGTAAAGCTTTTGTTATTAAACAATTTGATGATGTTCATACTTGTGGATCTTCTTTTCGTACAATTAAACATGCTAGGATGACTTCAAGTATGATTGGTGGGCTAATTTCAAGTGATATTCGTAATAAGGCTTTGACATCGGTTAGTGAGGTGGTTTGTGATTTCAAGGACTATTATGGAACATAAGTTTCTTATCGGCGAGCTTGGATGGGTGTTAAAAAAGCAAGGGGTCTTGTTTTTGGTGACTATTCATCATCATTTGACGATCTTCGTTGGTATGTTGATCCCGCTAATGCTTGCAATCCGGGGAGTGTTTTTGATAAGGAATTTGATATTGATAGTAAAGAAAGACATTTCAAATGCTTGTTTTTCTCTTTTGAGGCATGTATTCATGGTTTCAAGTATTGTAGGCCTGTGTTGATGCTTGATGGAACTTTCTTGAAAGGAAGACACAAAGGTTCTTATTGGCTGCTACGGCAAAAGATGGTAACCAAGGTATATTTTGTGTCTATTTGTTATTATTATTAAAACAGTGATAATTCTATCATTTTTGTTCCAGGAGAGTGCTGATTATTGAGTATGGTCAATCTATTAGTGACAAATTTATGCTGTATACTTTTGTTAAATTTTTATATTTATACAGTGATAAATTTATCTATGGCTGGTGCTATATGTTATATACTTTGGGTTTTGATTTTCTTTTTGTAATTTTTTTATTTGTCATTGATAACGTGTATATATATTTTGTTTGTAGGTTTATATCCGTTATGTTTTGCTATTGTTGATAGTGAAAATTATGACAGTTGGCATTGGTTCTTGTCAAAGTTATTAGGCATTTTGACTCTGAAGAGGGATATTGCGTTTTCTACTGATCGACATGGAGGTTTGCTGAAAGCTTTAGTTTAGGTCTTTCTGTTTTCTTCTCATTTTTTTTTTATCTAACGCATTTGAAGACAAACTTGAAGACTTATTTGTTAGTGAAGAGTCGTGAATCTAAAGAGTATTTGCTTACTCTTTTTAGTAAATGTGCATATGCTCCTACTATTGAGTTGTTTAATGAGCTATTTGAAGAATTTGAGGGTCGTTGTGGTCGTAGTGTTGAGAAGTTTCTTGAGGATTTGCCTAATGAATGTTGGTGTAACACTTATTTTCAAGGCAAGAGGTATGGTGAAATGTGCACAAATGCTGCGGAATCTTTTAATTCATGGATTAGGGATGGATGCTATTTGTTTTCAACTAGTCTTGTTGATGCTATACGGGTGAAACTAATGGGGCAATTTTCAAGAAGGAGAGAAGTTGGGAATAAGTGGAATCATATTGTTTGTCCTTTTGTAGAGAAAAAGTTGGAAGAAGCTTTTAATGATACAAAAGCATGGATAGTTAAGAAATGTAGCGATGACATTTATGAAATCCAATTGGATCATTCAGTTATGGTTGATATTGGGAAACGTTGTTGTTCTTGTCGATTGTGGGAAATTGATTCTTTTCCTTGCAAACATGGTTTTTGTGCTATAAAGAGGAGTGGGAAGGATCTGAATTGCTTTCTTGATGATTACTACCGTGTTAGTAGTTATTATGATTCTTAGTCACATTCTATCTATCCAGTTCCTAGTATGTGGAAGCCAAATGTAGTTGTTGATGATGACGTTGTTTTACCTCCTCTTTGTAAGAGACCAGCTGGACGTCCAAGAACGGAGAGAATACCTTCTAAGGCGAAATCAAGAGAATTAGGTGCAGTAGGTGTGAAAAGATGGGAATTCATAATCAGAAGACATGTAAAGAAGCTTTACTTTAGTTGTATTGATTTTAATTGAATTACTTTGTTGAGAGTTGAGAGGAGTTACTTGCATTGAATGATTGAGTATTTTTTGAAAGATGTATCATTTTGGTACTCGCATTGAATGATTGAGGAATTTGTTGAACAAAAATTATATTTTTTGCTAATATTTTTACAGGATTAAGTTTCACAGATTTATATTATTTGATTTGGGTTAAATGTAGTTGCTGTTTTTGGTGTTTTATAAAGTGATAAATTTATCACTGGTTGGTTTGGATACAAGTTGATGGATTATTTTTTGGTAAGAATTAATAAATTTACCATTAATGTGGCTCTTGAATTTTGTTATTTTGAAGAATAATAAATTTATCATTTATTATGTGGGAAGAGTTGATGGTTTATTACATTTATGTCAGTAGTTAATAAATTTATCACTGTCATATCCAAGCAAATGTTCTTTTCTACAGTGACAAATTTATCATTGTCTGGAGTTATCTAGTTTTCCTAGGAAAAATTTTCACAATACAAAGGTGTAGATCAAATCTCTAAAATACATAATTGCATATCTGCTGTGCTAATTGCTTTAAAAAGCAAAAAATTTTAGATCAACTACCATGTTTATCTGGTTTAGCAACAAGTTCTCAGTCTGCATACTGTTTTGTGGTTACTCAGAAGCTAGCTTTGGATGTTAGAGTTGTTTAACTGAAGTATCAAATGGTTTTGTTATTCAGAAATCACCAAGGATGGCATGTTCTTACATTCATTCTCAAAGTTGGGAATATCTATAAATTGTAACAGTATTTTAATTTCCAATTTGGACAATGTAATAGTGCTTGTGTTTTAATTTTCAATTAAGTAAATTTTTTATTATTTTTTATAGTGTTTTGTTTACTTGAATTAGGGAAAAAGAATGAGAGAGAGAGAGTCGCTAGTTTTTTTGTTTGAACAGTGGTAAATTTATCAGTGTTCACAGTGATAAATTTGTTGAAACAGTGATAAATTTATCAAGGTAAACAAAACACTATAAAAAATAAATTTATCAATATAGTGACTCCAAACCTGTTATTAACCTTTAAATTCAACACAAATACTCAGATTAGAATCAATATTTTGAATGAAATTTGGATGACAAGACTAATATCAAAAGCCAGATCTGGTAATGATATGGCTAAAAAAGAGTAAATGTTTCATTGAAGCAAATTTGAGATTGTAACAACCAAGCAGTGTCCATAACTTTGACATTGTAACAACCAAGCACTTGTAGACACCCTATTTTTGACCAACCTTAAGACTCAAACGTCATCGATTGAGCGCTCGGTGATTATGCATGTTTGAGCTTGTTTCGAGTTTCCGGAGTTTTTGGCTGAGAGCCTTGCCTCCGGGCCTCTGAACTCTTTGTGCTTTGGCTCGGTTTGTGGACCGAATCTTGTTTTCTCTTCCCTAGAGGGAGGGAGAGGTCTTGTAGACCATCCTTTTGTGGTCGTAGACCATTTTTCGTGGTCGTAGACTAGTTTTCGAGGCTTCCGGCTGTGCACTTTGCCTCTCGAACTTTCGTCTTGCATCCTTTTTGATTTGTTTTTGATACAAACCTTGTTTTCCTTGTTTGGAAGGTAGTACAAGGGTGGGAGACCAGTTCTTCCCCTTGGAGACCACTTTTCTTCCCACCAGCCAGTTTTTTGGTCGGCCAACTGGTCTCCTTGGTCTTTGGGTCACCTTTTCTGGTCGGCCACCACACCATTGCCTTTCTTTCATGCTGTAGACCTTCTCCCACCATGGCCGACCACTTTTTTTCTTGGGAGACCACTTGTGGTGGTCGGATGACCACTTTAAGTAGCCGGCCGACCATTTCAAGTGGTCGGCTGCTTTTCATCACCTTTTTGGAGATATTTTTAGTACAGTTGTGCCAGCTGGAAGGCACAGAAGCCATCCTCCATACATGGAGGGATGGCTTTGAGCCCTTAGCTTCCTCAAGAAGCTTGACCTTTATTTTTCTATATAAGAGAACCTCCTCCTCCCTCCTCTAGGTTCAGAATTTTGTGGCTGGAGTTATACATACACCCTTGTCTCTATAATTCTCCATCCTCTTCATTTTTGTGCTTAAAAGTGTAGTTTTATCACACTATTGCACACAAACACACACTAAAATACCATACTCTTGGAGCTGAGGTCCCTTGAAGTTGTTTTTGAAGTTTTTGGACTGGTTTTGGTCAGAAAAAGCTGCTGGAGTTGTGGTTTTGAAGGTGTTCTTCAAGTGTGAGTCAACTAGCCTTTAAACCCTTGTTTTGGTTTAAGCTTTTGGACCTATTTGCATGCTGATTTAAGCTTAACTTTCTACTACAAAAAGTTCTATTTTTCAGTCCTTAAAATGTTTGTTTAAGGTCACTTTTGTGTTGGGGGTGGTCTACCCCCTCTTAGGCCTTGTTTGGCCTTGTTCTTGTGCCTTCTTTTTAAGCTATTGAGACCACCTTGTTTTAGCCTTCTCACCACTGAAACTCAGAGAAATTTCAGTGGTGGAAATGGTGTTTTGAGGTCCCAAATAGTAGAGAGTCATCCCCTCTCCTTGTGTCTTGAATGCTTGCTTTATTTGCCTCATGTTTAAGCATGTTTGTTAAACTTATGCTAGCTATATCTTAGCATGTATTTGTGCTTATTTCAGCATGACATACCATTGTTTTGACTTGGTTTTGTCACCTCATGCATGCCTTATACACTTGTAGTGTATTTCTCACAAACTAGTCTTCTGTGCTTCATGAAGTAGCATGTCTTTCTGGCTTGTTTTGAGTCCATTTCAGCATGTTTTTGTTGTTTTTTTACCATGATATACCTCTGTTAAGGTTTGGTTTGATTACCCCTTGCATGCTCCATACACTTGTAGTATAATTCCATGAACTAGCCTAATGCATATCATGCTTTTGATCATCATTCTAGTATGCTTTTGGCTTAACTCGAAGAATCTTTTGTCCATGTTTTAGCATGCTTAAGCTCTGATTTGTATTGTTTTGGTCATGCATGCCATGCTTTGTATAGCTATAATACATTCTAGCTTGTTAGCCTTGTGTATCAAGTCCACTAGCATGCATTGGTTGGCCATTTTGAATGATTTGGCATCATTTGTTATGTAATTTCAGTACATATAAAGTTGCCATGCACTTGCATTTGTCACTCTTTCAATGCGTTGGAGGGTTGGTCCTTTATGCCTTAAACATGAGTCATTATGTATGCCTTCATGCCTAAGCTTGCGAGCTATCATTTCAGTGTGCTTTTGGGATTATTTTGCCATGATATAACTCTGATTTTTGTTGGCAAAGCCATCTTATGCTTGGTTTTGATAGGTGTAATGTAATCCTTCTTTTTGGCCTTGCATATTCCATGCTTTATGCCCTTCATGCTAGCTTGTTTTGACTTCCTTCCATGAATGTTTTAGACTCATTTTGACATGTTCTAGGACTTTTTTGGGTTGCCTCGACTATATGCTTCATGTTTTGCATAGTTGTAGTATAAGTGCCTATGCTAGCTTTGAGTTCTGTGTACCATAGCATGCTTCACTTGTGTTGTTTGGATGATTTGGCATCATTTATCATGACATTTTAGAGCATTTAGGACTTCTATGTTCCTATTTATTTCACTCTTTAAGTGCCTTTGAGTGTTGTTCATTGTTGCCTTGTTTGTGGCCTAGCATGTATGCTATCTTGCCTAGGTCTTTGAGCTACCATCTCAGCATGTTTTGGTCCTTGTTTTGACCTATTTAAGCTCTATCCATGTTTGGTTCATGCTTTTGTGTCATGTATTGCATGCCTCTTTGCTAGCTTTAATGCTTAAGGACCTTTCCATGCTATGCTTGTGTTGATTGAGTGGTTTGGCACCATTTCATACCTTATTTTAGTGCACTTAGTATTGTTACACTTCAATGTTTATCACTCCTTGAGCACTCTTGAGGGTTGTGCTCTTAGGCCTAGTTGATGGGCCACTGCATTGTGCATGCTTGTATATGCTATTGTGCCTTCATTTCTTAGCATAATGGCCACTGATTTGGGCATGACTGAGGTCTGTCCATTTTGGTTTAAGTCCATCGAGCATGTTTTGTGAATGTTGTTGCATTGCATGCATTAGCATTGTTTGCATGTCATTAGCTTCGTTAAGTTAATCATGTCATGTTGTATTGAGTATGCCATGTTGTTTGTTTGCATTGTGTATGCCATGTAGTTGCATTATGTTTTGCATGGTTAAGTTGCATTGCATGTTTGCATGCTTAAGTTGCATTGCATGTTTGCATGTTGTTGCTTGCATTGTGTTTGGATTGGGTGTTAGTCCAAACACGACAAACGAGGGACGTTTCATACTTGAAGTGATGAAACGTGCCTCAATTCTCGATCGTCGACACTCTTGACTATGCATGATAGAGTTTTAGGTTTTATGTGTTTATGTGTGCATTCATTTCATATTGAATTGTGTAATTTGGCTTCTCGGCCATCATGCATCGAGATGCGTGATTGGTGGCCCGAGGGTTGAGAACTACACTCCCTTGAGCTTATGAAATGATATGGAGGGTGGTTGTGCGCACATATATTGCAAATACATTGGCATGCCCTTTCTTGCTCTCTGTTGTAGTAAAGTGGAGTCCGGCAGCAACAACTGGTCGGCCGACCAGTAAACCTAGCTGGCTGACCACTTTTCCTGGTTTCAGCAAAGAAAAGTGGTCGGCAGGGGGTCTCCCTCCTCAACAACTGGTCGGTAGCCTTCCTACAGGTTCCCATGGTGGAGTTAAAGCTTTGTGGAGCTTTGTACAGTGTTCTAAGGTCAAATGGAAAC